GCAGTACCCGTGCGCCAATTTATGCACTGACAACGGACATCAAGCAGCTCAACGGAACACAATCGCTCAACTGCAACGTGCCCACCAGCGATGATTTGTGCATGTGAGATGTTCAAACTTGCCTCAGTTCGCCCACATTCATCCCGGGTTTGCATCGCAATAACATCCGAAATCGTGTGTCTCCGGCCGTATTTTCTCCACCACGTACCAACGTTTGCAACTGCTTCAGGTTACGCCCCCGCTAGCGACGTTGTGCTGTGCTGGGACACGTGGGCCGATGCCGCCGAAGACGCAGGAATCTCTCGACTGTACGGAGGCATTCACATCATCGCGGACCACACAGACGGCAAGGTAATTGGATTCAAAGTCGCAGCACTGGTCACCGAGAGGGTGCGGAGCATGTGGGCCTAACATCCCACCATACCGAGCTGCGTGGATTCCGGTCGATCAGCATCGATTCAGATCCTCACAGGAGCAAACCGGATCGGGCACCATCGCATGCCACAGAGCGCTGCGACGCCATCTATAGAGGCGCTGCAGCGCCGCTGAGTGAATGCAATAATTGCTTGTTGTTATAGTGCATCCCATGGATGGTGTTTTGCCAATCGAGGAGCAGTATCGAGCGTACATTCGTGGAATCTGTGTATCTGTATCTGAGTTCGTGGGCCATTGAAAGTCATTGCAGTCGGTTTACATGAATTCTAGAACTCAGTATTCAAGCCTTAAGTATTGTTGACGAGCGTTGTTCAGGAGAAAGTTGGTGTTCTGTGAGATTCGCTGTCCAGATTTCGTACGTTTGAGCATTTGGGCGACTCTCGCCGTGCCTGGTGCACGGCAGAAAGAATCTGCTTAGAACCTGATTGAATACAACAGTTTAGAGCTCCGTTTTCCAGAGCGCCTGCTGCAAACGAGAAGGACTTCAGCAGGGAAACTGTAACCATAGTAAGTCTGTTTCAAACTACGATACGCAAACCACAACAGGACCCATCATCAACGACACTCCCGAGGGCGTGACAGCCAGGGGCCTCTCGCCGCCATGGCGCACATCTGTGTCTCATTGCTGTCGCAGCACTGCCTGCGATGCCGCTGTGACTCAACAGGCCCTTAAATGTCGCTGCCTATCGGCGTCACAGCCTCGATCTGCAAGGGAATACAGACATTCACTACCGACTTGAAAGTTTCCTAAAACCACACAGAAGTCTTCCCCCGCAAAACGGGAATGTACAAGAATGCGCTAAGACGGTGCGCGCCACCACACTAACTCAACCCGATGTGCCCTTTAACCAAACATACGCAGTCGCTCCGAAACCCAGTGCGCTGCACACATTACTAGTTCTTGAATCAGCCCCACATATCTGGGATCGGAATCTAGATGCCATACTATACTTCCTCATCCATCCCCAAGTAAGCAAGCTCCGTACTCTCTGGGCCTTGCGGGTGCGAAGCGAGGCTGCTGTGGAATCGAGAAGTGAGCCGAAGCAGTCGCCACCGCTCAGCCTTACAAACCTCGGCAAATGACAAGGGCGGCGCATGCGGGCGACCATCTGTGAGTTCCTTGGACTGTGAATATTCCAAGGTACTACCTGGTCAGAAACGAATGGCCGGGCATTCAATGGCCAGCCAATTGGGCTGCCGATTCAAGCCATAGACGCAACCACCCAATCGTCGTCCGTGGCAGGAGCCCATTTACAAGACAGTCACTTTCGTTTCCGCTGGGTTACTATTTTTCTGTGATAGCAAATTGGTCTCTTATTCTGAGGCAGTGGGAAAAACTGTTCTTTCCGAAAAGGCTGTTCTAAATATTACAATGGGAAATCTGTTGTCGACTGTAATGGACATAGCTTTCTGGGGAAGATGGCAGACTTTATTATGGGAACGACGCTGATTTGGATAACTTAGGTGGGGGCAAGGGGGCCCAGGCGTTAGAGATGCGCCAGGCCTCCTTAGTGATGACGGCCGCCAGCTCCATCCCTAGTTGTGTGAATGAGACAAGAATACCGCAGCTGCAAGCTGACCACGTAAGCCCATTAAGATTACCCGCTTCAACTAACTCGGGGTGCACCGTGAGAGGATGCCTTATGCGCACTTTTTCCTTGAGGGTATGCCTATTGTGCACTGTTGCCTTGGCAGCCCTGCGGCGTTGGTCCAAAAATCATGTTTGGTGCTGGCCCAAGGGACCACCTGCGAGAAATGGACCGACGGCAACTCGGAATTAAAATTAGGTTTACTTAAGGTGCTGCGATTTCCAGCGCTAGGGTCTGAGTTTTGAAGACCAGTAGCGGGCTTGAGTACGGTCATGGGGGTTTGTGTTCAAAATTAACGGTGAAGGACACCATAGATTGTTGTGAATTATGGCGTCCTTCGCGTTGTACAGCAGCAAAAGCATCCCCCAAAGCAGAAAGTCTCTGTTTGAAAGAGACGATGCAGTGCTGGCAAGAGTGCATTGTAATTGTTGTCTCGTGCGATGAGTAGCGAGGAAGAAGCATCCCTGCTACAGCTGCGGAATCATTTCGCCGATCACACTTCGCTGTGTGAAAGAGATGATGCCGTTCTAACCAGATTGTGTTGTAATGGTTGTGTTGTGTGCTTGAGTTGGGTTGAAGAACCACCGGTCAAAATGAAACGCAAGGTCTCAAGGCGATGATGAGGGGCTTCTCTGATTGTGACGCAAACGACGCGTCGCTCGTTTGAAAGGGGAGAAGTCAACATCCCCTTCTGCAGGGAGATTGCCGGGTGGCCTGCTTGTTTGCCGCAAATGGCCTCGTCATTCGGAAGGGCTGGAGCGCACGATTTGCAACCATTCGATACGCATGGTCACACAAAGAGGGCGTCGCCCAAACACCGCACTTGGGCGCGGGTGTAACCGCGCGGCTCAAGGTTTGAAAGGATTCCCGAAAATTTCTTGAACGTACAGCACGGAATCGTACTGCATGCACCGTCACACTTAAAAAGCGTCACCCCAAAAGGCGCGCTGGCCATGGGCGCAGCCCCGTTGCTCAAGGTGCCGAGAAAAATACATGAACATACCGCGTCCCCGTGTGGATGGGGCACTGACCGACGCTCACCCTCAGCGGAGAATTCCCGAGGCTTCTCGGCCAGGCTGCGCCCCCAACGGGCCACCTCACTCCCCACCCGGATGGGGCGGGCCCCGGCAAACCGTGACTGAGGCTCGCTCCCACCTTTTCAACAGCCACGTAAATCTGCGGCAGATTTTGTGCCCAAGTACAGGGGGTAGCAGCACGTGGCCCCACCCAGCAAGTAAATGAGCCGCTCCAATGCTTTACCACGCGCATCCTTGCCTGGACATGTCGTTTCAGCGGTCTCGATTCGTCGCATCAGGGCGCCGGTCCCCTATCCGGGTTGGATAAGCACGATCACACTGGCCGCCGGACAGCGCCGGGAAGCCATTCACTTGCATCAGTCCAATCCCCTACAACCGTCCAGTACCTTGGCCATCCCCCGCCGCGTCTCATCTCCCATTTGTGTGACCCCCGGCCCTTCCCTCGTCAATCTCGGCATAAAAGCCGGACGCGTGTTGCTAGGTCGCAACTCGTCGCCAAGTTGCATTCTGCCACATCCGAGCAGGAGCGCGTGCGCGGAAGGGCCCCACGGGCTTGCGACTGGCAAGGACGAGAGCACACGGGCGGGCGAGGACAGAGTGAGTGGAACACCGCCTATCAGCGCTCCCCGCTCTGCCATTGCAGATCCTGGCGCATTCTTGGACTGAGTGTCTCCCCTACCCCGCTGCTGCCTCCCGCGTCTTAGCGCCCCTGCGGCGGCCTAGCAAACTCGAATCAATATATATTGGCCGCCCCGCGCGGGCCGCGCGGATCGCGGTGCCCCGATGCCGACTGATGCCCCCACGAAAATTGTTCGCCGCCCTGCGCGTTGGGCAAGATGGCCGACGAAATGGCAGCGCTCTGGCAGCGCGGACGGCGCGCCGTCTTTTGTGGCCGATGTCTCGCGATCGCCACCGCGGGGCCGGCGACCTCATTGCCGCCGCCGGCCCGATCTCCACTGGCCGCGCCCCCGGAGTGCCACGTGCCCCACGATCTCCAGCCTGGCACTACGAGGGTCGCGAGATGCCAGATGCACCGCGGCGCCCGGGGTCCAGTGGTGCAGGCGCGATTGAACGAAGTTCTCGCCGAACACCAGTCCGCGACAGTCCCAGGCCCCTTTCCTGGAATTTTCCACACGGAGGGCAATATTATTTTATTCGCCGACGCGAGGGTCGCCCGCCCGATGGGACCGTACGTAACCCGCCCGGGGCAGCCAACACGGCCAGTCGCGATCGCCGCCGATCAGTACATGCGCCTTCGGGGGACTGCCCAGGGCAAACCGCCCTCATATTCCCAACCCACGTGGCGCCGCTGTTCGTTCTTTTGCTCGGAATCTTTTGTCATCGCCGTGCCGCCCGCCGCGCCGCCCGCCGCGCTTAACCTGCAGTCGCGATCGCCGTGCATCGAAGCACGGGCCTCCGAGGAGCCGTAGGGGGAAAATGGTCGCAATTCCAAGCCCGCGCGGCGCCGTCTAGGGGCTGCGCAGTGCAGATTTCCTGCCCAGGGCGCGTCCAGCCAGCAGGAATTCGGTGGCGTTGCCCTGGGGCGCGATGTGGTGATGTCGGGTGCCTGTCCATCAATGTGCTAATGGGCCTAGAATGGACGTGGAGATATGCATGTCACACTTGGGGCGCGTCGCCCTAGCTACCCGGCCGCTGCTCGCCCAACCAAACAATCGACGGCATGCCTGCTCGCACAGCCAAACCCACGCCAGTCAACTGCCGGCCTTAGCATCTTGAGGTCTTGCGCACCAATTGGCCGCGTGCCCTGGCCTCTGGGCACCTCGCCTCCAGCCACGACGGTTGCGGCCGGCCGCGCTTGACCGCACTGAAACCAAGGCTGCGATACTGCCGATGCGGCTGGGAGCCGCGTGCGCAGCCCGGTGGTTCCGCCATGGCCCCCACTAACCCTTTCCTGTGCCGTGGCCGCAGTTGAAGCGCGATGGACGTCAGGGCTGCCCTGAAGGCGGCGCTGCTGCTCGGCGTCCTGCTGTGCGCGCAAGGTGAGTGCGGGATCCGGCGACTTTCTGCCCTTCGAAATGCATGAAGTTGTCTGAAGCAGGCGGATGGGGTGCGGCAAGGCGCGGGGCATCTGTGTGATCGCGATGGTTGTGGCTGGGTAGTGTTCTGGATAGCTTTTGCCGGTCTTTCTTCAGTGTTTTTCGGCGGTGGACTGTGTGCTGGGTGATCTTTGCCGGGTGTTTTCGGTGCGTCTCGATGCGGCGGACCTAGCTGTTCTCGAAAGTGACCGGGCGGGGCGCGGCAAGGTGGGGTGGCGGGGAGAGCAGAAGCGTCTGCGCGACCGAGATGGACGGTGTTGGGCTGTGTACTGGGTTGGCCTGGCCGGTGTGTTTTCGGTGCTCCAGGCGGCTTCCGGGCTAGAAGTGTCGCTGACCGCGTCGACGGGCGTCGATTGCGTGGCCTGTGGTGTGGATTTTTGTTGCGCTCGTGGTTGACTGGAATTATGTTGGCTTGAATGCAGCTCAAGAGGCGGTGTACAGCAGGGAGGAGTGCCCGGTGCTGTGTACAAATGAGAAGGAGTTCGAGACGCCCCTGCCCGAGAAGCCGAAATGCAAGGATGAACCAGGAGCCAGGATTCAGGATTGGGCGACTGTGATGCTCAACCAGGTGGGTACTGGTACACCTTGGAAAGTCTGATGTGTACCATGGAGTTTCAATGGTTGTGCTCTGAACTTTACCTCCTGCACAGTTCGGGCACTCCTATGCCCTTTCCACAATTTGGGTGGGCGTTGGTTGCCCCTTATGAAAATGCAAGGAGATTTCATACATTTGGTCAAGATCTAAACTTTTCTGTCGGCGTTGGTTGCGCCTTATGAAAATGCAAGGAGATTTGATACATTTGGTCAAGATCTAAGCTTTTCTGTGGGCGTTGGTCAACAGGTTAAGAACAATGTCAAGGAACTCAACCCCCCTGGTGTGGGTCGTCTGTTGGGGATATTCAGTGCGTGCGTCCATGACGCTGCTGCCCTCGGGAGTCCTAAGATGACCCCCTTCTACTCGAGGCAGCAGAAGAAGGCCAACGACCTTGCAAGTGAGTCTGATCTTGCAGCTAAGTTAGTGCTCTGCTTTGACTTTTAAATCAGTGTCACACACTTTTGATGACCTTGTTGGGGCACTTGGTTATTGGGGAGGTGCTGTTGTCCATCTCCATAGTCATCGGCTTCAACGCCTTCTGATTAGCTGTGACTCAAGAGTTGAGCAGCTGACCTGAACTTCCCACAATTTGAGCGGGGGCTGACCATCCTTATCTGATGACTCAAGAGTTGAGCAGCTGACCTGAATATCCCACAATTTGAGCGGGGGCTGACCATTCTTATCTGATGAACAGATTTCGAGGTGGAGGCCGCCATCGATGGTGCTGCCTTCGAGGCCCTTCGCAGCATGTTCTCAGAGTTCGACTCCTTCGGGCTGGTCGTGGACTTCATGCGGGACCTGTGTGGAAGCAGCAAGGTCCCCAAGGAGGGTGGTGTGGACATCGAGGGCACTGGCGATTCCAATGGCCTGAAGGTCACCACCCGCCCCTTCCAGAAAGGCGAGCTGGAGTCTGCCTATGAGGGGGATGACTCCTTTGCCCTGGGCAATGCTACCTGCCGTGATGTGATCGCAGCGTACACCTCTGACGGTTTTGACACCATTGGGCGGCCCTTGCCAGGTGAGGCTTTGTGTGTTGTGTGCATTGCTTGCCCCAACACCCCCACACAGTTTCAGCATCCAGCACATCATTCTTCTGGCCCAAGTATGTGTTCTGCATTCATCATCTTCAGACTGCCGAACAAGATGAATGTACTCCACACACTCAAGAACTGTCTGCCTGCTGCTGATTCTTGTGCCTGTGTGCTACAGGTACTGTTGTGGAGGCCCATGTGCCATTCAATGAGCCACAGGTGAAGCCTGGTGTGACAGATTGCGCAGCAGAGATCAAGTCCCTGGACCGCTGGCAGCCGCTCTGCGTGCCTGTGGCGTTTATGTCCGAGGAATGCAATGTGAGTGCAGGGAACATGCGCATCAGGGCTGCTGACTTGCAATACTTGTGGATGTGCTTTACATTGTTTTTGAACTGATAATTCACATTTTCCATTGCACGTCCACAAGGCACAAAACAGGAGCACCAACTGCCAATGATGCACTTTCTTAGTTTCTGCACCTGTAAAGACGTCTCATGGAAGCTACCTTTTAAATTCGTGCCCAAGTATCTATGTGGTTTCAATCGCAGTTGCACGTTGCTCTGTAAGAAGCATCGTGTCTACAAAGCTGGAGGATCGCGAAACTCATGCATGCTTTTTGTCTTTCGTGTGTGCAACAGGTCCAGAAGTTTCTTGCACCCACCGCCCGCGAGTGGCACACATTTGGACTCCCCAGCGGTGATTTCCTGAGGCCAGATGGCCCACCCAGCTTCGATACTGATGAAGCAGAGTGGAGGCGACAGGTGGGATACTCTTGGATGGTCCACATTCTAAAGACGATAGTCCACACTCTAAAGACGATAGTCAAGCCCGTTACATGTGGCTAGAAGTGCTCTCGGTTCATGTAGATGCCGTTGTTTGCAGTATTGCACGTTCACATTGGTGGCGTTCCTGGCAGATCTCTCTCCAGCGGGTCAGATTATCAGATCGCCGTTGAGCCATCATGTGGCCTCCTTTTGAATAGAAACAAATATTGAGTGTACCACACGACTGAATGGGTGTTTTGTCGCCATCCGTCCAGGCTTTCGAGGTTGTCGAGTTTTCTGCCAATCTGTCCGATCTGACCAAGATGGTCGCTGAGCACTGGGCGGATGGCCCTGACTCCACGACGCCTCCAGGGCACTGGTACCGCATTGCACTCGAGGCCGCTGAAGTCAAGGTGAGAGATACAATGATAGATCGTGTGTCCACAAGAACCTTCAATGCGATGATATGTGACAAGTGGACGATCTGTGGCAGATCAGGCGTGCGCATGAAACTGCCTTTAGATTGCAACTGGAAAGTAATTGGATCATTATCTCATGTTGGTCACATTGGAAGTTCAGGACTGCTCATGTACATCTGGAAGCGGTGGTATTTGGCATGATGACACGTAACCTTCCAGGGCAGTCTAGTCGCTCAACTGAATTCACCATTCAATGCCACTGGATTTGTTTCATTGTACTGTCATCTCGCATCCATGAACACCAAAAAAGCCCCAGCCAAATGGAACGAATTCAGAGCGTGCTCTCGGAATCGCCTCGTTGTTTTCCTTGCATTGACAAACTAACAAGAGAATTGTGAAAAACCAACAAGAGAATTGACTGAATTCGTGCTCCGTGGTTTCAACACCTTCAAATTCTATTATCTAACTAGGTTCAAATTATCTAACCCAATGCCAACAATCCTCCTCACCGACCTCGCCTCCTGCCTCCTTCCTTGCCTTCTGCCTTTCTAACGCACGCCCTCGGCCACCCGCCCCCAGGAGCTGGACCTCTTCGAGACCGCCAAGGTGATCTTTCTGACGGGCATCTCGCTCGCGGACGCCGGCGTCGCCGCCTGGGACACCAAGATCACCTTCGACCACATCCGGCCCATCACCATGATCCAGTGCGGCTACGGCGGCGACCTTGTGGACTCCTGGGTGGGCCCCTATCAGGGGGTGGCCAAGAACCGGGAGGCCGCCACCTGGCAGCCCTACCAGGCAACAACGTTCGTGACACCGGCGTTCGGCGGCTACATCAGTGGCCACAGCACCTTCAGCGCGGCCTCAGGCGGCGCCCTGGACAACTTCTTCGGCACGGCATACGTCGCGCCCAAGTGCCGGAGGATCACGGAGGGGTCCAGCCTGTTCGAGGGGAGGATCGACGAGGGAGAACCCGGGTTCGTGGAGGGGCTGACAAACGTGCCCAACAAGGGGCCCAGGACCACCGGCTACGCCCCCGCCACAGACGTGGTGCTGTGCTGGACCACCTGGGACGAGGCCGTGGAGGAGGCTGGCATCTCGCGCCTGGCGGGAGGCATCCACATCATCGCCGACCACACTGACGGCATCACGGTCGGCAAGGCCGTGGCCGACCTGGTGTACGAGAAGGCCAAGAAAAACTGGATGTAGGTAGGAGCCGAAAGGCCGGGTTGCGCTTTCGAGACGGCAGGCGCAGGACTGCCTTGGAAGCACATTTTGTTGCCATGTGAGGGGGCGGTCGAATGTTCGCAACATTGACGTGAGACCGCTGCACACGAATTTCTGGAAGTGGAGAGAGTAGTCGGGAGGCTGAATAATGTGCAGCTGTCCCAGTGGATGGATGCCGAGGAAGCAGTGCGACGTGGATGATTGCAGAATACCTGCCCCCACAGGGTCGAAAGGTTTTGGGTAGCATGGGCAAGGGTCAAGGATTGGCAGGGCTTCGGGTGGGGTGGTGGAGGAGGAGGAATTGTGGGGTGACAGAACGAGCTAGCAATGCAGAACGAATGGGTGTTGGACGCTGATTCCTATGTCTTATTACTGTGGTGATCGTAGTTCGAGCAGGGTGGTCTATTACCGGGGTGATTATAGTTCGAGCAAGAACGTCGATCTCGCTGGGGCGGGTTGGAACATAGCGGGTTCCCAATAGTCCTCATTTTCCGCAGCTGTGGACATGTGTGGACACAATTGTAAATTTGGAGATTCTATACTCAAAAAGCACTGGCTTTCCTATCCAAGAGGGCGTATCGGATACTGCGTTGCGTGGGTCCCCCGATTGCGGTCAGGAAGTGGTGGCTAATTGACGCTGGCCCGAGGCAGCACACGCAGCCCAGGCACGTCGCCAATGCGCAAGTTTCCCGAGTTGAATGCCCTTACAATTTGCTGGTATAAAGGCTCTAACAGAACGGCATACGTTAAATCAGACCCGACCTTTGCAGGTGCGCCTGGCTGGCGACCGTACAGGGGCCCACCGTCCCTGGCCAAACGCCCAAGGTCGGGTCTGTTTCAACGTATGCCATGTGCAACGTTCTTATTGACCTGCGCTTTTGCAGCAGAAGTGAAAGGGGCTGCTGACTGGACCAGCGATCGCACCTGTTACAGGCTGTAACGTAACGGGAGCTACGCCAGTTTCTTGTCCGGTCTGGCTGCGCCTTACCCTCTCAGAATTCCAAAGGAAACTAGACTGGCCCTTTTATTGCAATCTCACGCGCCAAATTGGCCAACTGCAGAGTTTCTCCACGCATTAACGAACACAAAGCACCCCAAACCAATTTATACACACTTTGAATTAACCTCGCAATTCTCACTGTTAGGATGGGGACGCACGCATGGGTGAATAGATTGACGCAGATCAGCGTTGACAAGGCATCACCAACTATTTGCCAAAACTGAGTCCTTGGCAACTTTGTCGGTCAGAGTTTGCCAACTTTTCCTCGGCTGATGAGTCTGGCTGTTTGTTAAGGAAGTTCTTTGAGCCCTTCGTGTGTTTGTGGACAGGTCTACCTTCACAGTAGTGGGTGGTCACTCTGGGCTAATACACTTGGGAGGTGAGTTCTTAATTTCACTAGATTCAAGTGGGCCTCCTGCCTGCGTTTCCGAGCTCGAATCTGAAGTTCCCTCGCACCAGAAGAACATTCATGACGCTGCCAGACCAATTCACATGGGACTTTCAGAAATGCGGTTCAACATACTATAGGATTCGAGCTTTCCAGACCGGGTTCCTGACCCAGAGCCGCGCATGTGTGCAACTTACCTGGGCTGCCATCATTCAACTACGTGTCAACCGGGACCGCGATTTTATCTTACAACTCGTAACTCACACACTCACGCAGAAAGCCATCGCAGACAACGATCCCCCTTACCACACACTTAGCCCAGGGCCAACAGCCTGTTGAACCTGAATGTAACAAGTGGCTGTTCGCCGCTGATTCGGTGCGTTCAACCTCACAATGTCTTGTTCAAGTTCGCTACCAATTGCCATGGGCCACTGGCCGCCGAGGCGGTGCTGGGACACCGGATGTGCTGGGTGACAAATCGCAACAGCCCCATCTCTATTTACACCGGCCAGATATTCCACAATATTCTAAAACTTCCAAGATTTTTTCCAATGAGCCAGCTGATCCCTAAGATGTCATGTTACCCCTACATTATTATTCACCATACCCGAACCTTCCAGACGTCCAGAACCTTCTAGACTCGCAAAGCGTGATGATCATGACCAAGGCAAGGCCAGGAAGCTCACGGAGCCCTGACAATCACCTGCCATCCGGCATCCTCCTCCTCCCCATCTATGAGGGATCACTTGGTACATTGTATATTAGAACACAATGCGACAAACTAACCACAAGCTAGCCTTGTATATTAGAATAGACGGGCTGGAGATGCTCTCGTTGTACAATAGAATAATGTACAATAGTAGAAGGGCGGAGAGTTGTTGGAAGCTGCCGTGTTCATGAACACTGCACCACAGGCACAAAACAGGTCACCATATCTATGGAACGGCTAGCGACTTGGTGGGTCAGAATACCACACTGGGTATGGGGACACGGTGGCCATTGGGTGACTCACTCTGGACACTAGGATACGAATGGGTGAACGGGACAAATTGAACATTCAAACTGGGTTTCTGGCGGTGCCCCTTGGGTGGCAGATAAATATAACTGCCGGGCTTCCATTTTGTAACACGAAGATACCGGTCCAATTCCGTTCCATCTTGCTCACTCACGACCGACTCCCGAGTCGAATGGGATGCGTGGGCTGAGTCCGGGTCGGTCACAAAGGAGTTGCGGCCCCTTACAACCGGTTTTGGAGCCAGCAAAGCTGCCGACAGTGAAGCGGCACTTCGGTCAGCCCTGACCCACCACTGGAGGCAGCTAGCGTCAAGGAGATGGAAGCTACGAAATATGCCCCGAGGGCGACACGGCAGGATAACAAGAAGTCGTCAGCTCCGGATTAAGCCTTGAGGGCGGAGTTGAAGAAGTTGCTGAGCGCCAAAGAGCATTTGCTGTGAGGCCACCCTGAGGGCATTGAAGGCTGGACGTTGAGAAGACATCGGCTGCATGGCCTGTCCCGAGGGCATGATGGAGAGAGCACCGAGCATTAGAGAACATCAGCAGTGTGGCCGCCCTAAGGGCAATAGGATGTGGACGGCAAGAATACGTCAGCTGTGTGGCCTGCCCCGAGGGAAAGTTTGAAGAGCAGCTAGGCGCTAGGGACATCAACTGAGTGACTCGCCTTGAGAGCGCATGGGGAATAAGAGTGCAAAGACATCATAAAGACGTCAACCATCGACAACGCCTAAGAAACAGGCAACAGGAAACCGGACAAAACCGGACAACATGAGTCAGACCGGGAGTGCTCAAAGCCAATCACCAATTGGCAGGAGCGTCACCCGACCAGTTGCATGCGGCCATCAAACAGGCGCTGGAAAGCCGGTGGAACCAATTGGTGAGACACGCAGAGATGCAACGAGGCAAAATAATGCAAACCGAGGCCAACCAACGCATCCAAAATCAGCTTGACAAAGCAATGGCAGCAATTGCCTGACTGATCGAGGCAAGGGCACAAAACCTACGAGAGCAACACAACCTACACACCCTCAAACCACAAAAATTGCCAATGCACGAGGGAGCTTGTCAAGGAACATTTACACAATGGGCATTCCAGGTTAAGCAATACTTACTCTTGATGAATGTTCATGACGATGGCATACAACATGGAGTTCGCTGCTAGTTTGCTTTGAGGGTCAGCCTCCTTTTGGTGGCAGAGCCTGGTAGAAATGCATAGAGAGGGTGCCATCCAAACGTGGAGAGACTTTGCCAACATTGCAGAAGGACAGTTTGGAGCAACCAACGACCAGCAAAAGGCAAGAGATGAGCTAGCAAAGTTGGCTCAATGCACAAGCGTAGAGGAATATACGGCAAAGTTTACTGACCTCAAGATCTATATAAAGGCATGAATGACAATGAGTGCTTGGACAAATACAAGCAGGGGCTAAAAGTGGCAGTGAGGTTGGACGCTAAGAGGGCCAAACCTCAGAACCCACAACAAGCTATGAGTCATGTGCTGAGGGTGGACGATATCCTTTTTAGGATAAATAGGATGTCAAGGAGCCAGCCCATAAGACCACCACCACTTTGTTCTCCACCCAACCTATACCACATGCTGGACCGACACTAATGGAGGTGGACAACCTCCAAGGTGGAAGACCTGTTGGAGTGCAATGCTACCGGTGCAAAGGCTATGGGCATATTGTGAATAACTATGTTACAAGACCAAGACTAGGGGAGCATACCCCAGCTTCTTAGGACATTGCGCATCACAGTGTGACTAACATCAAGAGTCACCATGATATGCAAAGAAGCGGATCCATAGAGTATTGCAGAAATATGTGGGATATGTTGGTAGCTACCAAAAGGTTGCCTTGCTACTTAGGGAAGTTAGAAGGTTGTACCATCTAAGTATTGGTGGATTCCGGTGCCATGGACAGCTCCATGGCCAAGGGGTTACTGTAGAAGGAAGGCATACATAAGAGCCGAAAAACAGCCCAGGAGATTGATATCATGTTTGTGAATGGAACCAGGGTCATGGACGCCACGAGACATCACAGAGTGAGGTTCATCACCGAGAACTGCAAAACTACGATGTCCACAATGGAAATACCGGTCAAAGCTTTACACCAGTATCGGGACACCCATGGTTGGAGAAAGTGCAACCTAAAATAAACTGGACAAATCACAAGATGATGATAGACTACAATATCAGATGTTGTATAACGTCGCCACATCAAGCGCCAAGCTGGAGAGCAAAATGCAAGTTGCTTATCAGTAAAGAAACCAGCTAGGAAAGTTGCAAAGAACAAGTTGAGTTAATTGCAAGCAATGAGGAGTTGGGACTTAATGAGAACGGGATCCCTATTATGGATAATTTTGGTGACCAATACAAGCCAGCAATAGCTGAAGAGCTGCTTGAGTTATCAAATAGAGACAAAACCAACAACCCGTTCAATGGGTATAGGCAACGTGATCTGATGGACATGAACTACACCCAGAAGAGAATGTAAAAGATGATTTACTAATCATGGATGATGAACCATATTATCTGTAGTGACTGAACACTATATTATACTTTGGTGGGTAATTAAATAATTT